CCTCTCCTCACTTGTCTGTTGTTTCCTTTGACTATCTTAAATCAATTTGTAGGAGCTCTTTTATTTGGGGTATTTAATCCTGTTTGCCCCATATGCTGCAACTTTTTAATCTCTTCTTTGTCTTTTGACTTTTTCCTGATGTCTTTTGCTGTATAGAAATATTAAATTTTTACATAGTAAAATCTTCAAATCTTTTTCTTTATGGCATCTGGATTGTCTGTTTTTATATAAAACATTTCTTCAATCCTGAGGTTATAAAAATTATCTCCTATTTCTTCTACTATTTTCAGTAGTTTAATTGTTTACACTGAAATCTTTAAGTCATCTTTAGGGAGCACTGGCATGTTTATAATATTACATATTTTCATCAAAGTGCCTGGTATGTGTAACCATTATTCAAGTCCGGTTTTAAGCTGCTCAATAAAATTGTATACATTTCACAGATCATGTATATTTCTTACTAAATTTCTTCCTAGACATCTTATAGTCTTGTCACATTTATGAATGAAAATACTTCCAATTTCTATTTCTAGGTTTTTTTTACATCAATTGATCTTTATATAGTGTCTTAGTCTGCTCGGGCTGCCACAGCAAAATACCACAGACTGGGTGACTTAAACAACAGACATTTATATTCTCACAGTTGTGGAGGCTGAATGTCCAAGATCAAGGTGCCAGCTGATTCCGTTCCAGGTGCGGACTCTCTTCCAGGCTGCAGACGGCCGCCTTCTCACTGTGTCCTCACATGGTAGAGGAAGAGAGAGCTCTGGAGTCTCTTCTTATAAAGGCACTAATCCATCACTAGGGCCCCACCCTCATAAACTCATCTAACCCTAATCAACTCTCAAAGACCCCCATCTCCAAACACTATCACACTGGGGGTCAGGGCTTCAGGATATGAATTTGGGGAGGATGACAATTCAGTCCATAACACATAGTTAGCTTAGAACTGGCTACCTTACCAAATTCTCTAATTAGTTCTAATAGGTTTTTTGGCTGAATTTCTTGGGATTTAAAATTATGCAATCATGTCATCTGAATACAAAGATAATTTTGTCTCCTTTCCCCTAATATTTAGTTTTCCTGCATTACTTCCTTAACTAAGAACTACCAAACAACGCGGAAGAATTGTGGTGGTGGCAGACATTCATAGCTTGTTCCTGGTTTAAATGGCAATAGTTTTAAGCTTTCATAATATAGTCGTTATATAGTAATATAGTCTTTATCTGTGTTTGATACATTGTCTTTATCAAATTTAGGTAGATCCTTCTGGTTCTGTTCTACTTAGAATGTTTTACAGAATAGTGGCTGAATTGTTCAGATGCTTTTGGGGCCATGTGAAGATTACTGCACGGCTTTTCCTCTGTTAATCTACTGGTGAGATCCCCTTGGCTCATGGATTCCTCATGTGGGACCTGCTTGGTGGGGGCAGGTCACATGTTAGCACACTGCTGGATTTGATTTGCTCTCATTTTTATTCAAGTTGTATGTTTACTGTATATTGCGTGGGGACGCTTTTGGTTTCCAATATCAGAAAGTCCAGCTCAAAGTGACTGAGATGGAAAGGAGGTTTGTTCCCTCACCAAACCAGGAGTCAGAGGAGAAGGAGGGCCAACGTTCCCTGCCACCCTCAGGACGTCTGTGGCGTCCCCCACAATTGCAAGACGGACGCCCAGTTCTTGGTGTGGCACCTGGTTATGACAGCATCTGGGGGCAGGAGAGGCAGGGTCTCTTCCTGTGGGACTCTCCCAGGAACCCCTTGAAGTCTCCCCTCTTGCCCAACTGGCCAAAACTGCATCCTAAGCCCACGGGTGTAGGTTAATCACTGGCAAAGGGGAGGGGTCTAAGCGACTGCAGCAGATCACTGTGTCCTGCTGGCATTGGGGTGGGACAGTGACCCTGTGCAGGTGTGCCCAGCATTGCAGGACACATAATGCCCCACCTCTGACACACAGTGCCCCCCACATGGTCCCAACACCCTTTGGTTAGGCAACACTGGTCCACACCTTCCCTGAGAGGGTCCTTCGGCTTCCAATGTTTGTGGGTGAAAGGGATCCGCAGTGTTTTGTGCCCACCCTCACTAGGTTTTGGCATTTTAGCTCGGTCATCTGCGTCAGGAACACATCCTTCCTTTCATAGGTTGGAACAGTTTGACTAGCAGAGAAAGCATCAGTTCCTGGCAGATTAGACAGACTCGTTGCATGACTGTTAGAGTTGAGCGCCCTTTTAGCAGTTCATTCTATGGTTTATTGGTCTATTCTTGTTTTCTCCCTTTTCTTGGGTCAGCTTTGATCATTTAAGTTTTGGTACAGAATCACCCATTTTCTCTACATCTTCCAGTTTACTTTCATAATGTTCTCTTACAGTTTGTAAAATCTCTCCATGGCTTGGTCACAGCTCTTTTCCTTTCTTAATGTGATGTGCTTGTGTTTGTGAAACCCATTCTGGTTATCCTGAATGACAGAGCCCTGTGTTTGGGACGGCAGTGTGCCAACTGCAACAATACATTCTGGCCTCCCCTGCGGCCATGTGTGGACAGGTGACAGAGTTCTGGGGGAATTTGGGGGACATTTTTCTTTCTTCCTTGATGTTTCTTCCCTCTTTTTCCTCCCTGGAACACAGAAATGAGCCCAGAGGAGGAGTGACTGCGTCTCCACTGTGAGGCTGAGCGCATGGCAGGAGCCAGGGCGCGGCTGCACCCCAGCATCCACCATCCACCTCTGAACGGTGGTCTGGGGAAAAATAAAAACATTACACTCCCCGTGGCTAAGCCACTGTATCCCCATCTCACACAGTCGGAGGCGGATCCTAGCTGATGCAATCTCTTTTTACCCTGATTGGGCCTCTTGGGGATTTATCAACTTGGTGTTTTTCCCCCAACACTCAGCTTTTTTGCTATGTGACTGATGTCAGCTTTTAATCTTTAGTAATTTCCTCCTCCTACTTTCTTTTGATTTGGTTAATTTATTTCATCTATATATATATGTTTAGCAATAAACTTACCTAAGGTTATGGAATTTCCTTTGTTTTTTCCCATACATTTTATGTAATGTCATTTACATTCCAGTTCCTGTGTGGGTGATGTGCAGTTCGTGGTTTAACTTTCTTCTAATTCAAACCTTATTTAGAAACATCTCTTTACTTCCAAATGGTTGTTTGATTTTGGATGTTTTTTGTTGTCAATTTCTAGACATCCACTCCTTAAAAAACCAGCTTTGGGACTTCCTTGTTATTGAAGGTGCATAGTTTCACGGACCGCATGGGTCTACAAGACCTGCTTAGCAAACCCACAGCCTCCCCCCATGTCCCCCTGGCCCTCCCCAGGGCCAACCCCTTGTACTGGTGGAGCTGATGACTTGGTGTTGAATTCCACAACTCTAAACAACATGCTTCTGCTTCTGGAATTTTATTTTCTAATTTAGGCCCTTACCTATTGACTTAGCCTTAGGAGGATGAAGCTTCAGCATCTCTCACTCTCCACTCCCACCATCTTCTTCACTCTCACCTCTTCCCTCCTCCTAAGAGAATTACGTGATAATTATCCTGGGGTCAAGAAGCCAGGACATCTTGATTACATTATTACAGCAATGAAAAAGAAATACACAGCTGAGTCAGGCAATATTCTGTGATTACTTTTAATTTCCTGCACAGCTTTTTAATTTCCCTGGAGTTAGCAATTGTCTTATTTTGTTGTTGTTGTCATTGCAGATGGCCAGGGCAGGCCAAGGAGCTTAGCTTTCAGGATTTAGCTCTGGGGAACAGCAGGATCAGGTGTGTGGGTGGGGGGAGAACCAGCCCAGGGCTCTGCACCAGGGCACACAGTGACCATGGGGGGATAGTTAGGATGGGGAAGGCTGGAACTTCAGAGGAACTTAATCAAGATTAGCTGCGGTTACTGCTTATGCTCTGGTGTTCCTGCCCTACAGAGGGTGCGTTCTTAGGTGAGGTGAGCCCCAGGTGAAATCTGAGTGGGTTCCAGAGTCACCAGGAACCTAGAGAAGTTATGAAAGGACCTGGATGGAAGCACAATACTGGGCAACGCTGCAGGGAGCACAGGTTCTGCAAAGAGTCCAATTCTTGAAACAGGCCAGTTCTGTAGGCAGTCTGGTCCTGGGGGCAAGTCGGTTCCAGAAGTAGGCTGTGGAAGTAAGATTATTCTGGAAGCAGGTTGTGGAGGCAGGTTCGGAGGGCAGGTTCTGGAAGTGTTCTGGAGGTGCGGTCCTGGGGCAGGTTCTGGAGGCAGGTTCCAGGGACAGGTTCTGGAAAAAAGGTCTAGTGGCGGGTTCTGCAGGAAGGATCTGTAAGAGGGTTCTGGAGGTGGGTTCCAGGGGTGGGTTCTGGCAGGTTCTAGAGGCGAGTTCTGGAGGCATGGCAGACCGAAAGTGCAGACGGCACCCGGGCTGGGGCCAGGCCCGGGGCCTGGGTCTCGGAGCGGAGAGAAGAAAGCAGGCATTGTTTAAGGGCTTGCCCCAGCGCTCGCTCTAACAAAACCGTTAAAAACCCCATTGTGAACATTTTTGGACAAGCCCCCGGAGGGCGCCTGTTGCCAGCGGGACGGGATAAAACGGGCGGCAAACTTGAGGAGTCTGCACGAGGAGCCGTGCAGGGAGGCGCGCCGAGGGGTTCTGGGCTAGCACTGTTTGGGAGTTTTAGGTTTCGCATTGTTTTTTCTTTTTCCCTAACTTTGAGGCACAGTCAGTGGCCGCCGCAGCGCATGCGCAGTCCGCGCCCGCGCCGGCCGCTCGGCGTCCAGCCCGGCGGTTGCCAGGGTGACCGCATTCCCCCGGGACACCGCGGGCGCGCGGGCGGGGACTGCCCGCCTCCCTCGAGCTCTGGTTGGCCGAGGCTGCTGTCCGTCGGAGTCGCCGCCGCCGCCGACTGGGCAGCGGCAAGTTTCGCACGCTCGGCGCCCGGCGCCACGCCCCTCAAGCCGGCCCGCGCCCGCCACCCCCGGAGAGAGGACAGTGCGCGACCGCCGGGGCCCCCGAGAGGGACTTGCGCTGGCGTCGGCACCCAGGCGGGCGCGGCCCGAGCGGCGAGCGGCGATGATCCCCGAGGAGAGGCCCGACGGTCCGGGCGCCGGCGAGGAGAGCGGCCGGCTGCAGGCGGCCGGCAGCGTCCGCAAGGTGGGCGCGCCCGCCGTGGCGGGGGGCGCTGGGAGGAGGGGCCCAGACTCCGGCCCGCTCCTGGGCGCGGGGCTGCGGAGCCGGCGCCGGCTTCTCCCGTCCGAGCGCGGCAAGCCTCCCACATCTCGCTCGCCCCTAGGGACAAGCTGGGCTTGCCGCTGGGGAAACTGAGGCCGAGCCCGCGCTGCCCGCCTGCGCCAGGCTCCTCTCTTGCCCACTTAGGGCCCCTCCTGTGCCATCCTGGAATAGGTGGGAACGCGAGTCCAGCTCGTGATTTTCTCCGACGCTCCGGGGCCCTCTCTTCTGGCAGGCGTTGGGCTCTGGTCTGTGACAGCCCGCGGCCCTCGTGTTGGTTCCCGACGCCCGTCATTCCTCCTTTCCTAGCTTTTCACTCCCTCTCCCCAGGGCTGTTCAGCTTTGCCCTGGGCACCCACCTCTGTATTGGGTGAGACTTGTTGCGGCAGGGGGTTGAAGCCTCCCGGTACGGGAAATGGCTGGAGGACTTCACGGCTGGGCAGCTTGTCCTTTCCTCACTTCCCGAAACCTCCTCCCCTTCTGAAGTCCCTAACCCCGGGCGCTGACTGTGGACGGTGGACCGTTTTCAGGACACGGGGAAGCTGTGGAAGGGGTTGGAGACCTGCTGAGTCTGTGTGTGGGAAGGAGGGGGCACTCTGGTTGCCTCGATGTGCAACCCGGAGCCCATGTGTCCCCTGCAGGTCCCCACAAGGCTGATCCGGTGTTCATGCCAAGCTTTAGGCATCCATGTGCCCAAGGGCTTTCAGTCCGGTGCTGCCAAGCAGAGGTGGCACCTCTGCCTACAGTGGTGCTTTCCCCTCCTTCTCTCGCCTGTGTCAGACTGCACATTGTCCCCCCACTGGCTGGTTCTGTTTAGCTTTTGTGTGCCTGGGGCCCAGGTCTTCCAGGGTGCCAGAGGGAGGCATCCAGGAGGCCAGGACATAGGCTGCAGGTTATTGGCCAAGTGATGCTGACCAGACCCCTGGAGGGGCAGGCTCCTTCCTGCCCACCCCCCAGAGATGTCGGGTGCTGCAGCAACTGTGTGTGTGTGGGCGGGGCTGTGGCCAGCAGCCCCATAGAGTGGGCACTGGAGAGAGAGGAGGCCTGTCACCTGCCCTCTGTGAACTCACTTCCTTGCAGGGCGGCCAGGCCTGCAGGTGGCCTTTGGAGAGAGCATGTGTTGTTTTGGGCAGACTATTTGGAAAGTTGCTCACAGGAGGTTTTCCAGAAGGTTCAGTGGACTGCACTTTCGGGCTCTCTGTCTTTGCCATTTGTCGACTGCCACTCTGGGAAGGGGGCAGAAACTGTTTCCAGCCGTCTCTCTGGAGTGACCCAGCAGTCAGAGCATCCTGACCTGAGTCCCTACAAAGAGACATTGGGCTATGCAGCTGGTGGGCAGGGCGTGGACCCTAGCCCTGCTCAGCCCTGAGCGACACTCTGTACCCACTAGCATGCTTTTCTGTTCTGTTGCCCAGGCAGTTCCTGCCACCTGGAAAGTATAACCTGACCCCTGCTGCCGGCTAGTGTGAGGCTGGCTCCTAAGCCAGCTATAGTGCTCAGAGTCAGGGCAGGCCGTTTAGCTGTTCATATATATGAAAGCTACACCTGGGTCTGAGGCCCCCGTGGACCAGTGTGGGTGATGTGTCTCTACCCTGAGAGTAATGAGACCTGGCGTCCAGTGGGCTCTCACCTGGCTCTGGTCTTCAGTGGGCATTCACCTGGCCCTGGTGTCCAGTGAGCGCTCATCATCTCCAGCTGGGCCCCCACTGAAGAGCAGCCTGGGCCAGTTAGAAAGGGCTTTGGGAGTGGGGCCTGCTTGGGGGCGGTCAGGAACCACCAATGCCCGGGTGAACATCGGAGGGGGCGGGGCTAGGGGGCTACCTGGCAGGCCTGTGTGGGCAGATCTGTGGTCCATCTAGCTGTAGCCACCATGTCCTGGGAGAACCCCTTGACAGGCACGCCCACTGGACTCTGTCCCTGCAGCAGTGTGTGGGGGATGGGTGCTGGGCCTCTGCCCTCCTGAGGTGTCTAGTTCTGTGTTCCAGTAAGATCATGGGGGAGGGGAGTGAAGGGGTCCCTGAGGCTGGTGGGGGTATCAGCAGGCGGGGTGTCCTGGGCAAGGGCTCTGAGAGGAGGAAGCTGGTCTGCCAGGCGTGGGGGCCTCTTCCTGGGAACCGACCGAGGCAGAGGGAGTCTAGGGGAGGGCATGGGGCCCGGCCTTTCCGATCATCTTGTTGTTTGTTCCAGGCCCGTGCTGGCCTAACCATCTCCCCACTTTGCCAGTTCTGGCCGCCATCCATGCCATTTCCTCCTGGGCTCCTGGGGGTCATGGGCCTGGTGCTTCCGGGCAGCAGGAGCCACTGTGCTTGTCAGGGCCGCAGCAGTGAGGGTGTGCGGGGGTCACTTCCCGTTTCTCCGTCCGCTCCCGCCCAGGCTAGGTTCTGGGGTTGGGGGAGGAGGCTGTTCCACAAGTGGGAGAGTTGGTTACCCGGCATCCACGCCCTCCCTGCAGGCACATCCCTTCACCACGGGGCCCAGGGTCACCCAATGTGGAAAACAGGCGTGGGCGCGGCTTTTGGGTCTGCCCAGCACTGAAGGTTGGGCTCTGGTCACTTGCTCCCACACCTCCCTACCCAGGTCACGCCAGCCGGCTAGCCTTCTGAAGCGGGCGTTAGGGTCAGAGGCCCATGAGCGGTACTGCAGAGCTGACAGCAGATCCCAGCTCAGAGGATATGGTTCTCCTCACTTCCAGCACATCTCTCCAGGGGCACTCGATATCAGAGACCAAATGACCTGTGTTGCTGAGGACAGGCCTGCTGAGCTGGCAGCCCCTGCCCAGCACATGGACCCACCCTCCCCAGGCAGACAGCCGTGGCTGCACACCCAGAACCCTTAGCACCTGCTGGACCTCTGCAGTCAGACCTTTGGAAGGAGAAGGACGTAGCTTAGGTCGTGGCCTGCCCTGCCCTCCCTGGATTTTCAGGCCTCCTGGAAGGGAGACTGCGCACGTCCTTGGCTCATTCCCTCCTGCACTGAGCGGGTTTGAGGGGCACTTCGAAGAAGAGGCCAGGCCAGCGGGAAGACAGACACTCGGCCAGCAGAGCGGAGTGGGGAGAGCGTGTTTTGTCTTCTTCCCTCCTTGTGCCACCCTGAGACCAGTCCCCCTGCCATCTACAGATGAGAGCCTGCCCAGAGTGCCACAGCGGGGAGGCCTCTGTGTCCACTGCTCTTTTTTCTCTTGTTCAGTGGGGACAAGTCCGCTCTCCCCAGTTACCTAAGGACCACTTGGCAGCCTCCTGTCCTTCAAATCCCGAAAAAATGCCGCCTCCTGCGGGAAGTCTTCTCTGGTTGACCTCTCTTGAGAACGCTGGAGTCTGGTGGAGATGTTGGGCACTAATCCGCAGTGGCCATGCACCAGGAGCCTTCTGCATGTGAGGGTGTGAAGCTTTCTTTAGGGTGCCACTGCAAGGGGCTGGAACAAGCTAGAGCCCCCAGAAAGTCTGAAACTGCCCCATGCATGATGGGGGGACACACCAAGGAAGAGCAGCCGTGCTCCCTTGAATACGTGGATGATAGTAGGTGCTGCAGGGAGGCTGAGGCCAGTTCTGCATGAACAAACCCTCCTCCTGTGCGGGCCGTTGGGCAGGGTCCTGTGAGCTGCGGCGTCCTCATCCCCATTCAGTTTCGGGGGCCAGGTGACCACCTGTGGGGACATTGCCCGGGGAAGGTGCATTCTGAGAAGTCCTTCCCGACTCCTGGGCTGGTGAGTGACCCTGACAGGAGGTCCCTAAATGGCTAGGAGGAGGCCTGGTGGCCACAGCTGTACCACCAGGGTCCCACTGGGGCCCTGAAAGCCACTCTCGCTCCCTCTCCCCTCACCAGCCGCTGTGGAAGCCCCTGACCCTCCCTGGCTGGAGCCCTCCAGTTGCCCTGTCCACAGCATCACTGCAGGCAGGAGCCCGCGCATCGGCGCAGGGCTCTCCTGCCTGGGGCCCCGAGACATGGGCAGGCTGGCAGGATTGCCCCGGATAGTGAGGTAGCATAGCTGAGGCAGGCAGTGGGCAGGCAGGAGGCCTGGCCTGCTGCCTGTGAGCCAAGCGGCCCTGGGCCTGTGATTTGGGCAGTTGCCCAAAGGGACCCCACAAGTAAGCAGCCAGCTGGGACGGAGCCCAGCCCCGGATCAGCATGGGCTGAGCACCGCAGAGAGCGGGGTGGGGTGGGCACCCCGCATGCAGGCCCCTTTCTGTTAGTGCCTTGGCAGGAGCTGGGCTATCGCCCACCCATGCCTAGCCACATGCTAGAATAATCGTGTGGGTGGGATGGTTATGGGGTTATGGCACAAAATTCCAAAGTGTAGTGGGGTGTGTGGTGAGCAGTTGGCTGCCTCCTGCCCGGGGCTCCCAGAGGTGATTGCATGTTTGGGCTGGGCTAGGGAGACTCAGAGCCCCATCATGCTGGTGCTCAGCTGCTTCCTGGGGCCCCAGTCCCAGCCATGTCCCGCACCCACCATGTCCTTCCTGGCCTGCCCGCCACCCACTCCCCTCCTTTCTGGTATCACCTGCTGTGCCCGGGCTCTGTGTTCGTCCGCCCCAGCCAGGAGGGCTGGCTCAGGCTCCACTCTTGGTGACCACCCCTTTCCCTGCAGGCAGGAGTCCCCTGGCCCAGCCTGTGGGCACTGCGCTCTTGTGAGCTGCTGACAGAGGCACAGCCTGGCCCCATGACCCGTGGCCTTTCTGCAGGGCTGTGACCCCCTGGCACAGACACAGCGAGGCCGCCCACAGAGCCACAGGGCCCGGATCCACCAGCAGATCAACAAGGAGCTGCGGATGCGGACGGGTGCCGAGAACCTCTACAGGTAATCACAGCCCCCTGGGATGCCTACTGATGTCCCCAGAGGCCCACTGTGAGCCAGGCCCACACTGGGTGATGGGGGCAAGGCAGTGGCCCGGGCGGGTGTCTGCTCTCGTGGTTCAGTCTCTCTCCCAGGGGAGAGGGATGAGTGAGCAGCTGACCATGGCTGGTGCAGGCTCCCAGGACCCGGGGCTGGGCCTTCCACGGGGGTCTGGGGCAGCCATGCCACTCAGCCGAGACCCTCACAGCCGAGCCAGGCCCCCACCGTGGTGGACCTCACTGGCAGGGGTCACCTCAGGGCCATCCAAGTTCTGGGCTGGGCTGGGGGGCCAGAGTGGGTGTTCCCGCCAGCGTGCAGTGGGGGAGCCTCTGATATGCATGTGGTGACCAGCGGGGGCTTCTCAGAAGAGGCACTACTTAGGCTGCACTGTGGCAGGTGACAGCCCTCCCGAGGTTGGGGGACCCAGGAAGGGGTCCTGCAGACTGAGGAGGCCCCTCTCCCCTAGAGCATGTGAGCTGCACGTGTGCTCGGACCCTCACACACAGACAGCCCACTCTGTGGGCGATGGCCCGAGGCCCAGGGACCTGGCCTGACCTGCCTGAGCTTCAACCACTGAGCGCAGAGCCAGCCCACAGGCTCCAGGATGGGGTTCTGCTGGGCCCTGGGGGCCCCTCCTTTTCCTTAGCAGCCCCGCCCCCCTGTCTACCCCATCCCTGCCCTGGCCTGGCCTTCCTGGGGACCTTGTGGCCCTTCTGTTGTGCACCTAGTTGCAGGCAGAGTGAAGGTCTGACCCCTGCTCCTCCAGGGACATTGGTTCCAGTCACTGTGGAGGGTGTGCGTGCGCGTGCATCCTGGGGGAGGGAGAGGGTGGAGAGCGCCTGTGCCCTGGAAGTCGGGGTCTGAGGAGACGGGCCCTGGGCTGAGCCACAGTGTACACACAGACAGGAAGCTACATGTACTGCAGGCAACTCAGAGGAGAAGGGGGAGGTCATCGAGTGGGCTGTGGACCCCGCTGCTGCCCCCCATGGGGGCTGACCCGTCAGCTTGTCACTCTGGGAGTGGACTCTGGAGCTCAGGCTGGGGTGCCAGGCTGCGGGGAGGCCCAGGGCGCATGGTCTGCCTGCAGGGCTAGGGCTTCACCTCAGCCCGGCCTCCCCCAGAGCTACCAGCAACGCCCGGGTCAGGGAGACAGTGGCCCTGGAGCTGAGCTATGTCAACTGCAACCTGCAGCTGCTGAAGGAGGAGCTGGAAGACCTCAGCAGCAGCGTGGACGCGGCCCAGCCCGAGAGGTGTGTGTGCGTGTGCAAGGACGCAGACTGGCCCAAGAGGTGTATGTGTGTGTGCAAGGACGCAGACTGGCCCAAGAGGTGTGTGTGCGTGTGCAAGGATGCACACTGGCCCGAGAGGTGTGTGTGCGTGTGCAAGGACGCAGACCAGCCCGAGAGGTGTGTGTGCGTGTGCAAGGTTGTGAGCTGACCCAAGAGGTGCGTGAGTGCGTGTGGGCCATCCAGGGCAGCACCTGTGTGATGTGTGTGGGTGTGTGAGGACGTGTGTCGGAGTCGAGGGGAGGTGTCTTGCGTGTAGCAGGTGCAGGAAGGGGTGGACTCCATGGCAGTCGGGAACAGCAGGGTGCAACCTTAGAGTCGGCACTCAAATCTTCTGGTTCTAGTGAAGGTGTTACTGTCCCCATGATCCCCCTGGGGCTGAAGGAGACCAAGGAGCTGGACTGGTCCACACCCCTGAAGGTGAGTGCTGCCCTGGGACCCCTGGGTCTGAGGGGACACGGCCCTGCCCTGGGGTCTGAGGGGACACAGCCCTGCCCTGGGGTCTGGGGGACAGGGCGAGAGGATCTTGGAGGCTTCCTGGCCCAGCTGTCTCATTGAACAGATGAGGAAACAGGCCCAGAGGAAGGAAGGGTCTGCCCTGGATCCGCCCAGCCTCCACAGGCTGTAGGGGATTCTGATTGGGTGGGCTTTGGAGAAGAGCCTAACCTGGGACAGGTGTGGCAGAGCTGGTCATCCTGCCGGAAGCCCCAAGATGGCTATAGGGTCTCCGATTCTTGTTCTGAGGGTCCACTGGCTGGGTGCCGCCCTCTCCAGTCACAGCCTGTGCTGTGAAAACATGCTGGTGCCTGGGGCTCTCGTGGTGGCTCATGAGCCATGTGGCCGGGGGGGGGCCCTGTCTCAGCCTTGTAGGCTGGGTGTAAAGGGGCCTCTACTCTGCCTCAGTGTCCTCGCCTGCCAGGTGGCAGGTGGGTTAATAAGGGAATGGAGTAGAAATAGGACCGTGTCTCCAGGCCCCACATCTGCAGTGTGGGGGGGTCCCCGGGGCCAGAGGGGTGGGACCCACGTCAGCGCACACACGAGCCCTCCGGGGGCCCAGGGCCTTCCCTTCACTGTGGTCTTGCCCAGTTGGCGGGGAGACTCCAGGGAAGGCCAGCGCCTGCCCTCCCCCCAATCAGGAGCTGATCTCAGGGCACTTTGGAGAGGATGGCACCTCCTACGAGGCCGAAATCAGGGAGCTGGAGGACCTGCGGCAGGTGCGTGGGCTCCTCCCCTCCCTGCCTGGGACATGGGCCACACCCAGGTCACAGATGAGGAAACCAGGCTCAATCAGGAACAGACGGAAAAACAGAGCTCAGTGTAGGCGTTCACACCGCAGGAGTCCCCATGGGGCAGCTCTGCGGACGGTGAAGGGGCAGGCACACCCAGGGTGTGCACACTCAGAGTCCGCAGGTGGCTCTGCGCACGCCGGGAAAGTTCCATCCCCACTGAACGCTGCTGGTCCTTTGGGAGTGGCTGATCCGTGCCTGTCCCCTCCCCAGGGCTGTCCCTCCTTTGTGCCCGTCACTGTCTCCTGGGGCGGCATGTGGACCCATTCACCCCATCCCCGTCCCCCATCCTCCCACGGGGCTGTGATGTCCGAGGGGGTTCCCAGGGCGGTGTGGGGTGGGCCAGGGTGGTGGGGCCCAGCCGGCTTCTGCCCTGCAGGCTATGCGGACCCCCAGCCGGAGCAAGGCAGGCCTGGAGCTGCTCATGGCCTACTACAACCAGCTCTGCCTCCTGGATGCACGCTTCGCGGCCCCTGCCGGGAGCCTCGGGCTGCTCTTCCACTGGTAGGGCTGCGGTGGGTGGCTGCCCTGGGGCCTCCCCTGGTGGCTCCCCGACATGTGAGCTGCACCCATCCCCACCAAACCCTGCAGGTACGACTCGCTGACAGGACTCCCAGCCCAGCAGCGGGCCCTGGCCTTCGAGAAGGGCAGCGTGCTCTTCAACATCGGTGCCCTCCACACCCAGATAGGGGCTCGCCAGGACCGCTCCTGCCCCGAGGGCGCCAGGCGCGCGGCGGAGGCCTTTCAGAGGGCTGCTGGTGAGAGGGGCCCAGACCCCAGCCTCACAGCCGTGGGCAGGGTGTACAAGCCTGCATGTTCTTTGCTCTGGGGCACCTATGTGGCAGAGCCCTTTCTCTGGGGCCAGAGCTGGGGGTGGGTGGACAGCCACCCAGCGTGAGGGGCTGAGCACGCACAGGCCCTCTCTGGGGGAGCAGGGGTTGCTGCCTGAGCCAGGCTGAGGTTCGTGGGGGCGGGGGCGGCAGCCGGCCTCGCCCGCTGTGAGCACCCCATCCACAGGGGCCTTCAGCCTTCTGAGGGAGAACTTCTCGCGGGCACCGAGCCTGGACATGAGCCCCGCCTCGCTCTCCATGCTGGAGCAGCTCATGGCCGCCCAGGCCCAGGAATGCGTCTTTGAGGGCCTCTCGCTGCCGGCCCCCATGGCCCCCCACGACTGCCTAGCCCAGCTGCGCCTGGCTCAGGAGGCTGCCCAGGTGAGGGTGGGAGCCCCTGTCCCAGGAGAGACCTAGACAATGGCTCGGCTGCCTAGTCCTGGCCTGGCCACGCTGCAGTGGTGCTGTGGGCAGGAGGGCCTGGTCGGGGGTACAGCTGGGCCGAGGGGGCAGAGCCAGGGACAGAGTAGGCCGGGATCCAGGCAGGGAGGGGTGGGGTGCAATGGTCGTGTCTTCTTCTGTCCGTTCCTAAAGCCAGCTGTTGTCCTGGTCCCTGTGGGGCTGGTCAGGACCCCAGGGTCCTGAGTCCGTGTGGCTGGGGCAGCACCAATCAGAGCCAGAACTGGTCGGCTTGGCAAGGGGCCCCTGGGACATTGATCGGGCAGGTGGAGGCCTGGCCCCAGGTGGGGAGAGGGGGCTGAGGCTGCTGGGCGAGGCCAGGCTAGGCTTGTCCTGGAGTCCTGTGGGAGGGCCCACCGGCTTGCCGTGTGCACCGGCAGGTGGCGGCCGAGTACGGGCTGGCGCACAGGACAATGACCCAGCCACCCGTCCGAGACTACGTGCCCTTCCCCTGGACCACCCTGGTGCATGTCAAGGCCGAGCACTTCCGTGCCCTGGCCCACTACCACGCGGCCATGGCCCTCTGTGACGGCCCCCGTGAGTGCCCCGCCCCATGTGTCCGTGTGCCAGCCCAGGCCTGGCGCGGCGGGGCTCACGGCCCTCTCTGACCCCCAGCGGCAGCCGAGGTGGAGTTCCCGGCGCTCGAGCAGGTCTTCCTCGGGCTCCCAGCCTCGTCTGAGCCCCGGGGCCCCGCGCTGCCACAGGAGCAGGAGGAGCGCAGGAAGCTGGGTGAGGCCGAGGGAGGAGGGCGCTGGGGCCGCTGCAGGGTCTGAATGACCCACCCCACCCAGTCGTTCACGAGTCGCCTCCTCTGGGCACATCTGGTGTCCTGGCACTGGTGGGTGAGGTTGCCAACTCGCCTCCTGGATGCCCGCCTACCCCAGTGGGTAATGCCAAGAGGAGGGGCCGGAGCTGCTCGGGCGGCCTTCTGGGCAGGTGGGGGCGCACGTAGGGGGCAGCTGCTCCCTGGCCACCATTTGCACCTGGCAGTGCCTGGACCAGCCGGTGGGCCCTCAGGATGAACCCAGAAGCCCTCACCTGCCCTCCTCTTGTTGCGTCTAGGGGTGGGGGGAGCTTCGGCTCTGCCTGGAAGGGCTGGGGGAGCTGGGGGCCCTGGGGCCCCACACACCGTGTGATGGCCATGTCCTGCACAGGCAAGGCCCACCTGAAGCGTGCCATTCTGGGGCAGGAGGAGGCTCTGCGGCTGCACGCGGTGTGCCGCGCCCTGCGCAGGGTGGACCTACTGCAGGCCGTGCTGGTCCAGGCGCTGCAGCACTCGCTGGCCAAGTACTCGGAGCTCGACCGAGAGGACGACTTTTTCGAGGCCACGGAGGCCCCTGATATCCAGCGTGAGCAGCCAGGCCCCACGGGATGGGTGTGTCCTGGCCAGAGGGTGGGCAGTGGGCTGCGACCCTGCAGCTGCTGTTAGAGATGCAGCCAACTTCCTGTCCCCTGGAGCTGTGGGCAGAGCAGGAGAGCAGGGGGCTCGGGGAGCCCACACTGGCACACTCCTCTGCTCCTCTGCCCCTCCCCATCTCCGCACCTGATTCCTGTCCCTGCGGCCTGAAGGCAGACGCCCACAGGCCAGGCGCCCAGCATCTCTTGCACTACCTGGCCAGGCACAGCTGGGGAGCGGAGACACCCAGGAGCCACCTGGAGCTCCTCCTGCCAGTGGGGGGCAGCCACGCCCCAGAGGTCCTCAGAGGGGCCTGTGTACACAAGGCAGGCCACACCTCCAGTCATCCACTCTGCTCAGGCCAAGTGGCATCCTGGCTGCTTCCTGGGGGTTTGGGGTCCCATGAGCCTCGGGCTTAGCCCTGCCCTCCCTTTACCTTTGCCCTTCCAGCCAAGACACAGCAGAGGCTGGAGGTCAGGGCACCCAGCTTCTCCCAGGTGAAGGTGGCTGACATCTTCCACCGGCTGGTGAGCACCCCCTCTCAGAGCACCCCCTCTCAGGCCACACTGAGGCCCTGTGTTTTCACTGGCCTGGGCGAGGCCCCTGGACAGGCCCACGATGGTGGCCCAGTCCTGTGTCCCTCCACGGCACCTCATTGGTTTTTGTCCCAGGAAGTAGAGAATCTGCCCCAGGGGTTGCTACAGGCCAGGGGTCCTCCAAGTGTGGTGGCCCAGCCAGACCTTTGATCCCCCCCCAGGGGCCCCTGTCCGTGTTCTCTGCCAAGAACCGCTGGCGGCTAGTGGGGCCCGTCCACGTTACCCGGGGAGAGAGTGGCTTTGGTTTCACGCTGCGGGGAGACTCGCCAGTCCTCATCGCTGCTGTCATTCCTGGGGGCCGAGCTGCGGTAAGGGCCCCCGTCCCGCCCCAGAGCCAAGTCCCTTGGCTTCTAGGAGGTGGCTGGGGTGAAGGGGGAAGATGGGACTGTGACCACAGGTGGTGGGGTGCCCTCGCCGGACTCCTGAACGTCCCCACGTCCCTGCAGGCGGCTGGCCTGCAGGAGGGAGACTACATTGTGTCCGTGGAGGGGCAGCCGTGCAAGTGGTGGAAGCACGCCGAGGTGGTGGCCCGGCTGAAGGGCGCGGGCGCCGAGGGGGTGAGCCTACAGGTGGTGACACTGCTGCCCAGCGCCGAGCCACCCGGCCCGGTAAGCTCCAGGGCCTTGGGGGATGGCCCCACCTCTCTTGTCCCACCGGGCCCTGGGCCTTCCTCCAGGCCCCAAAAGTCCCCAGGTGCTGAGAGGGCATTAGAGAGAGGAGGCTGGCACGTGGCGGCCCTCACTGGGGCGGCCTTCCGGGCGCCTGTGCTGCGGCCTCCATGCGGCAGTAACTCCCTGAAGCCCCAGCCCACCCATCAGTGGCCTGAGAGCCCACACTCCTGGGGCTCGGGGCAGAGGCGCTGCTGCAGGAGCTCGGCCAACCCGTGGGGCCCCCGCTGCATGGCCACCCTTGCAGGACCGCCCCATGTGCCATGCCTCCTTCCCTGTCACACTCACCAGGCTGGCCACAGGCAGGCCAGGCCAGGGGGGCTGACCACCACGTGTCTCTGTCCCAACTGCAGGGGGACCGCCGGCCGGCCCTCGGGGGACTTCTGAGGAGCCAGAAGGAGTGTAGCTGGGACATGCCAGTGCCCGCACGAGCCAGCCCCAGGCCCCTCCTTGGCTGGAGCCGCAAGGCCAGGAGGGGCAAGACTGGGGGGAGGCTGTCCCCAGCCCCACACCCCTGAGCCGCACGCTGCCCTCACCCTCTGGGTGCCCAGGGTGGCAGAGAGGGGCAGGCTGCCCACACATCTGGGGCCCGGCACAGGATCCATCTGGCTGGGAGTGGCCCCCTCGTGCCCTCCCCCACCCAGGGACCTTCAGGCCAGTTTGCTGCCCCACCCAGTGCCCGGAGCTGCCCATTAAAGACAGTATCAGAAGAGGTGTGTCTCAGCCTGGTGCTGTGGGCCGGCACTGCACCCACACATGGGAAGTGTAGCCCTGGACACTGAGTCCCAGTGCCAGGAGGCTGCTTCTGGGCTGCCCTGTCGTCACATGCCCCAAGTGCCCACCCGAGGAGGGCAGCTTCCCAGGTAGGGGATGGGGCCTGTCCAGCTGCTTCTCTCGGAGCCTGAAGGAGCCGCCCCGGATTGCTGGGGCACTGTGGGTGACATGTCGGCAGTGGGTCCCTGCAGTCGGATCCTCCCTCTCATGTGGCGGGCTCCCAAGGCCCCTCAGCTAGGCTGTCTCCCTCCCCCTGCCTCCCAACATGCCATATCCTGTCCACAGCCTCTCTCAGGGCTGGGTCTGCTCCAAGCCAAGCTTCTGCCTGGCCCACAGTCATTCGTGCCGGGCACCACACCCCTGGCCCGCCAGCACCCCACAGGCTGGACGAGGCTCAGCTTCCTCCCAGGCTCCAGGCCTCCTTCCTGCCCTGCCCCTGCCTCCACACAGCAGCCAGGGGACCCACAGCGCTGCCTTCTCTCTGGGCAGGGTGCCAGCCAAGGCCACCCCCTGCAACACTGTTTACTATGCACAGAACAGGGACCCCTCCCTGCTTCTGCTCTTGCTGTCCCCTCGTCCTGACATGTCCCTCTCCCCCACCCCAAGCTTTCTGTCCAGGAAACACCTAGCTCTCATCCCAGCCCTGAACCTGCTGTCCAGTCTTTGTCTGCGCTACACCCCACACCAGCATCCCGCGAGGCCCCGCCCTCACCTTGGCCCTGCCCTCCATCCTACCTGGCCCCGCCCCACAGTCCTACCTGGGCCCCGAGGCTGCTGCTGCTGCTAGTGGGTAGGTGTCTGTGGGGCTATCTCACCCCTCTGCACCCTGGGCCAGCACAGAGGGGCACCTCCAGCCTGCCCTGACCCTCTGGGGCTCCGCCCCTGCGGCACCCGGCCAGGCTCATATGGTGAGCCCTCAGTGTCCCTGGGCTGCATAGATGGGAGAACGGTCCCCAGAGGCCATCAGTGCACAGGCTTCCCTTGGACCCAAGGAGGCATGAGGTCAGGACCTGGACCCAAAGGGAAGGGTGAGAAGGGCTGTGTGGGAGCAGTGGGGGGTGGCAGGCCAGGGAGCAGCCACGTGGAGGGAGCAGCCACGTGGAGGGGGCGCTGGCCCACAGATCTGGCAGCTGGGATTGGGGCCCAGGATAGCTGGGGTCCCCGTGGCCGCTAGGGGGCGGCTGCTGCCCACTCAAGTGGCCACAGGAGGTGGGATCTTCAGGTAGGCGTGGGTTTGGTGGGGGGTGGGCAGCAGACTCAGGAGAGCAAGGAAGCCCCCCTGCAGGCTGAGACCCGCCCTCTCTCTTCAAGTGTCATCACTGTCCTCTCTGTGGGCTCTCCAGGCCAGGCCGGAGCAGCCCTGTGGGACCTGAGCCTTGCCGTTCATCACCTCCCTCCTGCTTTAGTGTTATTGGGGGGGTGGTGAGTGGGGGCGAGTGTGTGTGAGTGGGGGTGCTAGTGGGGGGTGTGAGTGGGTGTGTCAGGGAGAGAGCACGAGAGAGGGGAGCCTTCCCAAGTGGACAGGCAGAGCTCCTCGGCCTGCCTGAGCCTGGGGGAGGGTGTCCAGGTGCGTCCCTTTCTGACCCACATGCCCCTCTTGGGAGGAGGCCCTCTCAGCAGAGCCAGCCAAGGTCACTTCAGTACTTGTTAACTTGATTAATAAAACTGTGTGTCAAGGAGGACATTACCCACTAATCGGGGACGACAGGGCTGGCAGGTCTTGTCCGGGAGGACGTAGCCACTCCCCCGCCTCCTGGGCCCTTCTGGACCCAAGAGGGGCACTGGGGGTTAGGGGACGTTAGCTGTTGCCTGCCTCTTGCACCAAGCTGGCTGGGTGGGGCCCTTCCCAAGGACCCCCTACTGCAGACAGTCTGTGGTGCGTGCCCTCCTGGGGCTCTCCCAGGCCCCCCCCCACACACACGGCTGCTCTCCCAGGCCCCCATGCCCAGCATACACGGCCTCTGTTCCAGGTCCACCCCCCCACGCGCACACACGGCCTCTGTCCCAGGCCCCCCCACACACACACACGGTCTCTGTCCCAGGCCTCCACACACACACACACACACACACACACACGGCCTCTGTCCCGGCCCCCTACTGGCCAGGCCCTTCTGCCCCCACCCCACCCAGGCCCACTCAGGCAGCCCGCATTCCTGCTCTAGGAAACCGTCCACCCTGCAGCCCCCTGTGCCGGAGGCTCCTCACAGCTGGAGTCAGGTGTGGCTGGGGCCAGGTTCCCTCTGCCTCATGGGTGGGTCTGTGAGTGGGATCGCAGGGAGCTCTGGAAAGGGTGGATGAGAAGGCCGGGCTTGGTGGGTGCTCAGGAGCTCGCCAGAGGTCCAGCTGCAAAGGGTGGCGCTCCCTGGGGTTCGGTGTTCCTGGGGTCAAGAGTTCTGAGCCGCAGGAGGCAGGGCTGGGCCCGCCACTCACCCCCTGGCCAGGCGGGGCTGGACATCAAGGGGAGCCCCACCTCTCCAGGCGCCATCTCCTGAACCCCTTTTCAGATGCGAGAGTAGGTGTTGAGTGAGGGACAGTGACCAACTTGAGTCCCACAGGGCCGCCCCGGGGGCTCTGCCTGCAGTTCCGGCCACTGAATTGGCAGCAGGCAGAGTCCCTGGCCGGCTCCAGGAGGCCTCGGGAGTGAGGTCAAGGGCATGGCTCTGGGCCTGGCAGAACTCACAGCTTCCCCCCAGTGGTCGGTCATGGCCCGAACCCCACCCCAGGGGCAATGCTGCTGGGGGCCCAGGACTTGGAGCCCATGGGTGAGCCCACCAGAAGCCTGCCCCGTGGGTAGCAGCTCAGGGTCGTGTCAGTGCCTGTCCAGCCCCGGGAGCAAAGCAGGAGGCCCCAGGGCAGGGCTGTGTGTGCTGGAGGAGGGCCTGTCCAGGCTGGGTGAGGGGGCCATGCCCACAAGAGCCCGCCTGGGCTGAGGCTTCTCCCAAGTGGCAGTGGCTGCACAGACCAGGGCTGGCTCGTGGGTGTCCACATACGTGTGGTGGTGTGTGTGTGAGGATGGGCATGTGCCCACCCTGCCCATCCACTCCGCTCTGACGTGTCTGGGGGACTCTGGTCTCTTCCCATCGGTGTGCCACCTCGCTAGTGCTCCAGCCTCACTTCTGCCTCCGCCTGTGCTCTCTGTCCCCCTCAGTTCCCGGCAGGCACCTCTCAGCCTTCCTCAGACATGGCCACACCTCGTGTTGTATCCCCCCAGTTTCTGGCCCAGCCATACCACCGTTTGTCGCTGTGTCACAGACAGGCCGTGGGCTGTGGGCAGGGATGGCACCAGCTCCTCCACAAGCTCCATGGACACCCAGGAAGATGGCAGCGACCTGGTGTGAGTGTCCCACACATGTGCCTCCCAGGAGGAAGGGTCGGCCCCCAGGCACTGCCAAGGCAAGCAGTGGGCACTGCGTCTCCATGGTGCCAGCACAGAGCAGGGCCCGCAGGGGGCGTGGAGAGCGCAGGGCTGGGCACGTGTGGACACGCGTGTGCTCCGACCGGTGCTCAGGGCCGGCACGTGCTGGTGGACATCCCCGGTGTGTGCCTGCAGTGCCGAGATCTGTGAATGCCCCCCTGGGCACCGTGGCCCACGTGGGGACAGCTCATTTCCCAGAGTGGTTCCCCCTGGGTGGGGAGGTCGGGGAGAGTGAGTGTGCCGAGATCCTTTTTGCTTTGCCAACAAAAATCTGCCGAGAGGGAAAAAGGCAAACTCCGTTTCGCTTGGGTCAGCAGTGAGCCAGGCGCGGAGATTAATGTGAGGAGAGGAGCGCAGCGGAAGGGAGCCCCGGAGGCGGAGGGAGGCAGCGGGGTGGGGACAGGACAGGAGTGGGGGTGGGGGCGCTGCAATCAACGGGAGAGCTGCTGGGCAGAGGGCAGGTGCAAGGGCCATAGAGTGGCAGGGAACCCCCGGCTTCCCTCTGCCCCCCTCCCAATTTACTCTCTTCCAGGCTCCCACCCCATCCCCTGGCCCAACCCAGGCCCCTCTGCATCAGCCTGTCTGCCCCTGATCCCCCAAGAGGTGGGGTTGACCCAGGAGCCTGCAAAGGGTCCGGATCAACACCACACCCCAGCTGGAAGGAACCCCACGAAGCGGTGGCCACCTGGTCTCCCCACCTCTGCCCCACTGGACACCGGCCCCTGGGCTTAGCTTACCACAGGCAGCACTAGGGGACCCACGGCCAGTCTGAGAGGTGGTGAGATGCCCTGAAGCCGCACAGCCACCTGGGGGCCAGCCAGGGTGGTCCCCAGGGCCCTGGAGATTGGAAGTGGGGCGTGTGGGAGACAGTAGGTGAGAGAAGCTGCAGTCCCAACCCTGAGCACCCGTAGGGCTGTGTTCCCAAGGCCCTGCCCTGGGAGGCGTCAGAGGTCTGCTGGCACCTGCGTGGAGGCCAGGAGGTGGGGCCCAAGAGTTGGGGCATCCTTCTGTAGGAGCCTGAGCCTCGGAAACCGGAGGCATGCTATGCTCCCAGCTCTCCCCTTTGCTGGAGAAGCTGCCCTTGGCTGAACTCACTCCCTGACTGCAGTGGACTCGATGGTGGCCCCCAAAAGATAGGTCCCCTGGAATCTGTGAATGTGTCCCTGTTTAGAAAAGGATCTTTGTAGATGTAATTAAGTTAAGGATCTCGGGATGAGATCATCCTGGTTACCCGGATGGGCTCTAAATCCACTGATGCACATCCCTGTAAGAGGCAGAGGAGATGGCCCTGTGAAGACAGAGGCAGAGGGTGGAGCGATGGGGCCAACAGCCAAGGAGTGCCTGGAGCCCCAGCAGCTGGAAGGGACCAGAAAGGGTCCTCCACGGAGGGA